AACACTGCATTCTGAGTGCAGCAAAAGGCACTGCCTCAATTGAAAAATGAAGCAAACATTCTCATGTAACTTTGAAATGTTTAAACTTCCAGTGGGTCAGAAGATAGATGGAGGCAAACCTAAGATTTTGTCTTTCTACATACCAATATTGGAAATTTCTTTGCACACAGCACACAGAAAAAACACAATGGACACAGAGCAAACATGTACATCTGGCCCAATTTTCAGTCATAAAGTATCAGTAAGATGCCATGCAGTGAGGGCACCGATGCCTGCTATGTAATAGTTTTCCAACACTTGCTGGGAAAGTGAATATGATTGTACTGATTCTAAACCTCCCACTTATGCAAAACTTACAGTATCTTCACTAGGAAGTGTTCGCTATTCACAAGGGAAGGAGGTTGGACCCTGACGAGTACAGGTCAGCATTAAAGTCAAGCTGTTGTTCAAAGGCTGAGAAAGCTGGAAAGAATTGACTGAAATTTTCTTGATAGTTACATCATCACAGAAAACTTCTGTGCTGCCAGGGTACTGTTACTCACGATTAAGAATCTGGTAAACTGTTCCTCTGGGGTTTTTAATCCAATTTGAAACTAAATTAGCAGGCTGGGATGGAGGAATTCAAGGCCTTGCTCTCTATGTTAGAATCTGAGGTTGTGTTTCACAGTCATTTTCAAACATGAAAAAGATGCAGTGAAAGAGTGAGTTAATTAAATTCTTCCTATTTATGAGCTGTTTGGAGACATCTTACCAAACCTTCAACAGTAACTGAGTATCACCTACATATGTCCAGGAAGCTGTGACTGAAACTGAAAACCTTTTGAATGGCCAAGAATGAATGCTATCATTTCCTTGTTGAAAGAAATGCATAAATAATGCAGAGCAATGTGAAAATTAGATGGTATACATTTGAAAACTGTTTAAGAGAAATATTTGAGCAACCAAGGCAAGAAAATTATATTTTCCAAGTGCTCACAACAGTAAAGAGGAATGCTCAGTCATTTACTTGAAGTAAATATCTGCTGGCAGGAGGAGAGCTGACTCAAGTATGCACTGTGAAAGCTTCAGAGGCAATCTTGCTTCCCGGCATATTGCAAGCTTGGAGTGATGATGTCAAGTGGGTATAACACAGCTAAATAATTACATTTCTCCTCAGATACACAAAATACCTTACTAGAAAGAGCACATTTTAAACACAAATTCTTCTCTCCTCTCTAATGATGTCATACGGGTCCTGGGTAAGTGACAAAATTACCTCCTGTCTGTTTTCTGGAGTGAAGAGAACAGATTTGCAAAAAAAATCTGGGACCTAAAACCAAATTTAACCGGTGTCTTTGTTAAAACACCATCTAATAGAACAAGCAGAGATGCCAGACAAAAATCCAAAGAGAGGCAGGACATCTTTTCCTAAATAAATCTCCTACTGCATCTCTTGCACTTAGCATTGAAATGATCATTGAGATACAAAAGAATTGTAATCTGTGGGGAAAAATAATAATGGGTCTTACCACAATTTCATATGTGTTTTATGAGGAAAAGTATCTTTTAATTATTTTAACCCCATTTTAGAGAAACTAGATGTAAAATCCTTAAGATCCCCTTCCCTTGACCATCTCATTCCTTTACTTCCTACTCCCATTTTTGAAGTAGCATATCTTGAAAGCAGTATACACAGAGCGGACATCACTGTCAGTGGGAGGGGGAAAAGCATCACTGCACAGTGTGCATCAGACAGCACAAAACCAGAGGAAGCTAAAATGCAGTACAAGCTCCACTAATAGGATCTCTGAGAGGCCACCCTTTTCCTAACAATTAATGGAGAGAGATCAGATTTTACTGCATTAATCATCTCCTGGCATGAGGCTAACAGCATGACAAGTTAAATTTGATCCCAAAAATTGCGTTCTTAATCCCTCTCCTGCCAGGCTACACCTCCTCAGGTGCTGAAGTAAAGGAAGAAAAACAAATTGTAAAGTTTCTCCCCTGAAGAGTTCTGCATATTTCAATTCTTCACTCATATATTGTCATCAACATCTTCCTGCCCTACACCAGCTGCTCTCCCCCCAGCTTCACCAGCAGATCAGTTCCCATCTGATTACACTACTGGACAAGATGGAGTCAGGCCAAGGATTCATCTGATCATGGGTATTTTCTGTATTTCTGAAGGCAGATTTCCTTTTCTGTCCCCTTTCTTCCCCAATATGATTCTCAATGCACAATTAATATTATTGAATTCATATTCTTGCGTTGTTACCTTGCTGTATCAAAGCTGTCGTCACCTGTTTCATGCCAGCCAACATGCACTTCCCTGACACAGGTTGTGGTACTTTATAGCTACAGCAGATGCCCTCTCACACAATGGCTGTGTTCTTCAGAGTTTGCTCTCTGGCTCAGAAGGGAATTAGAAGGGTGCAGATCCATGAACATTGTGCCCTGCACACTCGGCAGTGAGAAGTAATTTTCTTAATTAATCAGAATGAATTCTGATACAAAGGTACCCACAATTGATTGCATTTGGCTCTTTTAACAAAACAATTAAAATCTCTTTTTTCCTCCTAGTCTTGTAAATTAATTTTTAACACAACAAAGAATAAAACATGAGTTGTCTCAAACCGAAGATTTAAGCAGGGTATTTTTAGGGTAGATTTAGATTAGGTATAAGGAAGAAATTCCTTACTGTGAGTGTGGTCATGTGCTGGAACAGGTGGTCCAGGGAAGTCATGGACGCCCTCTCCCTGGAAGTGTTCAAGGCCAGTTTGGATGAGTCCTTGAGCAACCTGGTCTAGTGGAACGTGTCCCTGCCCATGGCAGGGGTGTTGAGACTAAATGATCTTTAAGGTCCCTTCCAAACCAAACCACTCTATGATTCTATAAAAGTTCTTCTAGCTGTGGAAAAAAATTTCCCGTTTCAAAAAGTAGTTCTCAGTTCTGCTTGGAATTGATGAAAATAAAGTTAAGCCATTTACTTACAGAGCTAACAAACATCTTTTATTTGTGTTAGTCATATAAAAATTTTTATTTCAAAGTGTTTTTTAAATTCTAAATCACAATTACACCAGCAGCTTAAATACAAAAGCAATAATAGTTACATTATTGTTTTTCTGCAGTAATTTTCTCCCTGTTCCACCAAAAGCAGAAATTTGAAAGGTGATGCAAAGTACTAGTGCAAAGCAGGCACTTCTGTAGGACTCAAGGAAAATGAACATGGTTCAATATAATGCTTTAAGACTTCACTTTACATTTATGGTCTAATTCCTCTCTAGTGGTGGTGGTAATAATAGGAAAGAAAGAGAAGCCTTTTGTTCTCTTGCCAGTGGCTTTCAAAGGGTTTGAAAACTGTGCTAGGAAAAATAAGTGTCAGAAGATGAAGCACATCTAGAACTGAAATCGAAGTGATGTGAAAATACACATGCCAGCAGACCCTATCAGAGCCCCTCCAAATTTTAAGGCAAATTGAAACAAAATAAAAAGGCTCCCAAAAGGTTCTGTTCCAGCATGTACTTTGTCTAGTGCTCTCAGCCTAGAAAGCTGTTTCACATAATTACAGCATGAGACATTGACTGTGTTGCTGAGGTTTTATTTGGAGTCAGGCATGCCTGGCAGTTTTTTCTGGGCCATGTCCTATGCCTACCCAGGGCACACACAGGGAAGTGGGATATGTGTTAGACCTCATCATTGGCTTCAAACAGCACTATATTCTGTTGCTCTGGGGACAATCTGCTGGTGGGGCAGTCTGATTGAAATACAATCTCTGTTGAAACCCTCTTTTTATAAATATAACACATTTTTAATCTACAAAACATTACCACAGTGATGAAAAAGCAGCTGCTTCCTCCCAAATCACTGCCCCTCTGATCCTGGGACCTTGGTAGCACAAGTATGGGGGCAATAACTGTCAGTAGCACCCCCATGGGTGAGGGATCTCATTACAGCTGGAAAGTAAGGTTGTTGTGAGTCAGTATTTGACTGGGAAGCTGCTTAGAAACGCTTGAACAGTCGTCTGCTTCAGGAAGCGTAATAAGTGATTCAGCAACTCAGACAGCAGCTTTCAACCTGAATCACTTCAGAACCAGAACACAGGACAGAGCAGCTGCGATGCAGAGCTAAGGCCTATGGGGTCCTCTTAAAAATCGTGTACCAGCCTTTAGAAACAAGATCTTCTAGCTCCAGAGAGTTCATGTTCCTACTTTCAGCTCCAATAACAGGACAGCCTGAGTTTCTCCAGATTTCAATGGATATATCTTTTTTAGCCAAGAGCCACACTGTGTAATGTTATGGAGTGTAGAACATAACTTCTGTATTGCTCTGTAGGTTGTCTTAGGGGACAGTCATTCCTACTGCTCTACTGCAAAATGATTCCAGGAGAGAAACATCCATCTGGGCTAAAGTCTCCTTCTCGTGACATGATCCCACAGTGCCTAGTGTTCATGGAGCTGGCTCGAACCCTGACAGGGACCTTGGCAAGCAGCTATTGCAATACTAATTGCAACCACCATCAGTGACTCAAAAAATCTCTGTGCCTGTTTAGATTACCCTGAGCATAAACCTAAATTATAGTCTGTTCTGCAGATACCTCATATTCTCTGTTGCCTCCCAAAGTGAGTATCCAAGAGGAAAGAGCGGAAGTATTTCTGGAGTTGAGCAGTCAGTATTGCACCTTTATACAGCAGCAAACCAGCTAACGCTAAAGGTGGAAGCAAGGCTCTCCCGGCTAAATCAGGGAAGGACAAATGGCTTAGTGAAACGGAGCACAAGACCCAGTCAGGGTACATGCGCTTGCTGCTAAGCGCAGGCCGGGAGGACTGCTGTGCCTTGCTAGCTGTGGCACGCTGGCATGTGCGAGTAAATCCTGCCCGTACAGATCCATAACCCGGGGAGAAGGGAGCGCTTCCCGCCCGAGGCGTGTCTGTCCCCCGCCGCGGGCAGCCGGAGGAATCTGGCGGGGCAGAGCCAGCGCCGCGGCGGAAGGAGCAATGCCTGCTTTTGGGGGACACCCGGGGATGGGGAGAGATCGGGGCCGAGGCGGGAGGGGGTGCGATGGGAGAGTGAAGCGGGAGGGGAAGGAACGGGGTAACAGCAGGAGAAGGGGAGGGGACAGCCAGGAGGGAGGGGGGGCAGCGGAGATAATAAAGCCGGAGAGACAGGGAGAGAAGGACGAGCGGAAGCCGGGGAGAGCCGAGAGCGATGATCGGGGCGGGGGCAATGAGCCGGGGCGGCGGTTCCCGGCAGTGCGCAGTGGTGCCCGGGCAGTGCGATGGCTGCCCGGCATTGCCGATGGTCGCCCGGCGGCGGCCTGTGACATGCAGCCTGTGAGCGGCGGCGCTCGCCATGGGCTCGCCGGTTGCAAGCCGGGCCGACGCATCGACCCGGTAACTACGACGAAGCTGGACGCGGGAGACTGAGTCCACCTGGCTGACCAACACGGACTCCGAGAGCCCGCAGCAGGAGGGCGGCGGCGCCGAGCCCGGGCGGGAGCAGGGCGGGCCGCGCCCCGGTGAGTGCGGGCGGCGCGGGGGGTCCGCGGGATGGGGAGCGGCCGTGACACACATTGTATGGACACCTCACACACACGTGTGCGTGCACGGGGCTGTGTGTGTGCACCCCCTTCTTCTGCTGCGAGGGGAACGTATTCCGCTCCCGCCGAGAAATGCAGGCGCCCAAGTCTGCCCTAAAGCCGCCGAGCGCTGGGAGCGCCTGCCCTGCCCGGCCGGGAGCGGGCACTGCGCTAACAGAGCTGCTCAGGGTGCAGAGACCCGCTCACGGCCGCGCTCGGCTACGAGCGACAGAATTAAACGCCTGCAGCTGTGGGACAGCGTCACCAGAAGGGAAGAGAACTTGGTCTTGGAGGGTCTTGCTGTGGAATACGTGTCTTTTTCTTCTGCAAAACAAGTCATTTAGGAAATAGGTTTGAATTAAGGAAGAGGTGCGCAGCCTTCTTCCACACTACCTCTGATACCTTCTATCTGCAGAAAACTGGCCAGAGGGTGGGCTGCACAGAAGCTGACCTGCAAGTTTGAATTTCCCAGATCTTGTCAGTGTGACACATCCTGAGCTGTGAACCTGAGGTATTACAGTTGAGACGGATATGGGAAAGGGAATGAGGAGCTCTGATCTGATGTGGAGTCTTAAATGTTTTAAGAATTATTATGTATTGCAGCAATATCTAGAAATCTCAGCCTAGTTCCAGAAATTCATCATGCTTCATATTGTACACAGCGTGAAAGTGGTCACTGCTCCAGGTAGATTATAATTTCCATATGAAGTAGTAAATGCCTATAGGCAGCTTCAGAGGAAAAGCAGTAGCTTTACAGACATTTATAGCAAGTGACAAAGCACCAAAAAGAAATTATGGAAGTGCAGGAGTGAAAATTCACAAAAGTGGGCATCACAGGTCATCTGGAATAGAGAGATCATGACTCTCTGCTGACCAGAATACAACAGGGAGGGAGAAGTCACAAGTGGTCTGTTTTACTCCTGAAGGCTAAAGAAAGACTTTGTAGTAATCACATGTGAAATTATGAGAATTTGAAGGTGAATGGGTCTATAAAATGCCATATTAAAGATCATATCAGGAATTTAAAGACGTTTAAGACAGTGCTGGCCAGTAAGTTCGAATGACAGGTGTCAGTCTCATCTCCAGCCATGAAGGCTAAACACAGTGAGTGTTACCTGTGTACCCACAATTAGTGTTATCTTAGCCATGTTTACTTTCAATTGGTGCCTGAACATAATAAACAGAAGCCAGAAAGTCCAAGACTTGATATTGAATAGGAAGTAATAAAGAGATAGACCAGTAAGTATTCTTCCCAGAAACATGTGATAGTTGAATTTGTATTTAGAGATGAGAATACCAGCAGTAAGGAGTCGAGGACAACACTCAAGTCCAACACAGATTGATTAGGGTAAGAGAAACTTTACAAGAAAGAAGAGATTAGAGGAAAGTGAATGAGGAGAGGACAGACTAGTAGGAGCAAAGGAACTGTAGGACTTAAGTAAGGGCAAGATTTACTCTTCAGCACAGCTCTGGTGGTGGCAGTTTAAGGAACCTGAGGAACACACACTGCTCCCAATTAGTGCCTTGAAAGTCATAAAGTACTTAATGGAAAGCTATAGTAGGGTAAGGTTTGAAGTAAGAAAGGAAAAGGAATAAGTAGAGGTACTCTAGGGAACTAGAAACAGCATGTTAAGTGAATTTACAGATGAAAGGGAGAAATTGGAGGGGCAAATGAGGTCAAGTATGAGTTTAAGACGTGAAGAGGAAAACATGCCTTTATTGTGAGAACTGAAAACCACCTAAGATTGAGAGACAAAAGGGAAGAGTAAGGGAGGGCACATGAGCAGGATGGGGGTCATGGGGAGATGGGACATGACATTGACATAAATCAAGGTAGGAAGACACTGTAACTAGGACATAGAAAGGGAGGCAGCCAGGGAAGGGGGCACCAAAGGAGGATGGGGAAAAGAGGATGAAGTTATATTTCATTTTTCACTTGGAATATATTGGTGAAATTCTGTGAAGAGAGAAGTAAAGATAAGATCAAAGAAGTATTTTGGGAAAAGGACAAAAACAGTAAGAGGTGGCTGTGATTGTCAACACGTTTCTTTTAAATGGAAAAAACAACAGACACTGGACATCAAAATGTAATGAGGAGTAAATCACTCAGGGATGAAAGAATGTAGTGTATGCAGGGATTAGCAAGTGTATCAATGAGGAAAAGGTAGGAACTATCCTATCTTAGTCTGAGTAATCTCACCCCCACAAATCGCACCACAAATTTCAGCCAGTACATTTAGCTTTCTGTGCCTTATTAGAATTGTACGTATTTCTGTGGCCAAATCTTTGTACCTTAAGCAAAGACATTTGAAAGTTAAAATATTATTCAATTAGGAAGGAAGTATTTTACCATTTCCTTTTCCATTTGCCCCATTTCAATTGATGCTTTCTTAGAATATTTGTTAACTTCCCTACTTGATTTTTTGCATCCATTTTAATAAAGTTTATCGTAATCTCCCTATTTTTTCAGGAATACTTTTAGGACAATGTTAGTTGTTATAATATAGCTAAAATAAAATAGATGGTTTTAAGTTCACAAGAAGTAACTTAGGTCACAAGAAGTCACTAACAGCCACAAATATAGATGGTTGCAACTTGTTGCAGTATGCTGCTGAGGTTTTGGTAATGATGAACAGGATAAATTGATAAAGATGAAGAGGGATAGAAAAGTACTAAATAGCTTCATGAAGCACTGCAGATGGTGAAATTGAAAGATACCTTCTAGAAGACAAGTGTACATACTGTTCATAGGGCAAGTGGCTTCCACAGGAGAGGAAAAAGAGTCACAATGAGCCCCTACAATAGAGCCATTTCTTGTAAGAACATCCATTGCTATGAGAGCAAAGAACTTTTCACAGGATTCAGCTATTGCGTAGGCCATAGCTGGGAAAAATAATGGACTGCATTTCTGCTTAGTAACCGTTCCTTGATCCTTGCAACTCTCAGCACAAATTGCCTTCTCTGTAGAGGGTCTGATTCAGCTAAGTGGAAGTGTTAGCACAAGTAATGACTTTCTGGGGAAGTAAGAATCTGTGGGTACAGGCGAGTTCCCAGGTCAGTCACCATGGGTTACAAGCAAACCACAGGGAAAAGAGTGATTTAACAAAAAACACACAAAAACCTTCAAGTATTTTGGAACACATTTGCACAGCCCTGACATGACATATGTGTAGCCTAGTAATTTAGGATGCACAATTTCCTACAAGAAACCAGTACTGTAAAAGTGTTTTATAAACCCGTTCAAAATCAACTATAAACAAAAATTAATTTCTTTTTTTTTTAAAGAAGGCTTTAAGTCATCATATTTCTATTTCTCTCCATTTTCATTGGCTAAGTTAGCTGCTGTATTCAATTATTTTTTCCTTATTAGACTTGAAGGTGCTTAGAGTGGGTAAAGCAACATGTTGCTTTGTGGTCAGAGAGCCCTTACAATCAGGCTTTATCTCATAGGCTGCAAACGCCTTAGGACGGGATTTCTCCTTACTATTTTCCCACAGCAACCAGCACAGTAAGACCCCAGTCTTAGCTGGGGATTGTTACTGAAATGCAAATAAAAGTAATTAATTTTGAAATGGTGTACCAACCAAGTGAAAAATAATTCTCTTATATCAGAAATGAAAAGCTGCATAAAGCTCAGGACTCATACAGTTTCTCAACTAGTAAAACATATGTTGAATTTTAATCATTATGTGACTCACAGTATCAGCCAAAAAAAATTGTTTTTTATGCTTTCTACTTTTCACTATTTCTATAGAAAAGTCTTTTTTTCTTGAAGCATATTAAAGAAAAACATTATCCATGTTTGGCACAGACTCACTTCATGAATTCAGGAGAAAAACTTGCTCATGGGCATCAGTAAACATAACTGCAGTCAGTGGACTGTGAGGAATGAAATCTGTCCAGTGAAGATGTTTGGAAAATACCTATGAAATGAAAGAATTGAGTCCTTTGTAAAATAAATAGAGAAAACAAGAGGAATACAGGAGAAATTTTATCACTGTCTAGCAATCTGGCTGGCTAACAGTTTATCTTGTATAATTGCCCTCAATATACTTGAGTGTTTATGAATAATTCTTGCTCTGTTCTCTGAGGCTAAATGACTGGCTCATGCTGCTGCTCCACTGTTTTCTGATCGCTGACAACTGTGGGAAGTTTTATGGATCAGGCCCATATTTGTAGCTAGGCTCTGATCAAGACTCAGTGCGCAGAATATGGTGTTTTGGATGTAACCTTTGGTACAGAAGTTTTGGAAAATCTGTTTTCCGTCCTTTGCAGCAGAGGACTGGGAGCAGCGGCAGCCGAGGGCCGGGCTGTGCGAGCACCAGTTGTCATGACAACAGGGACTGGTGCTGGCTTGGCCCGCCCTGCCGTCATCCGCTCCTTCGTTTACCAGTTTACCCGGTATGCGCAAAGTTAAGAGCTTAACAGAGGTGGATAAGCATCGGTTTGTAAATTAAAAACTTGGTGCAGCAGAGGGTTTCTTGTGAATCGGACTGCAGAGAAGTATTTAATAAACAGTCTATTTTAGGTTAAGAGGGATCATTGTGTTATATGGGTATACCAGGATCTCTTTGTGCTCATGCATTTTTTTTAATGGGTTGGTTCAAAATCTGGTAGGTTTAATAAACAACTAAAGCAGTGACTCTGATGTGATATTTCCAGGAGATGATCTTATTACTGTTTGGAATGACAGTAAAAGTGAATAAATGCAGCCTCTTCCTGGACTGCAGACATATTACAGTAATTCCCTATTCCATATTAGTCCAGACGCTGGATATAGTAATATAATGCATTTGCATGGTGAGGTTTTGTAGCAGGTGACAGGGTACAGGGTTGGCTTCTGTGAGAAGATGGTGGAAGCTTCCCCCATGTCCAGTGGAGTCCATGCCAACCATCTCCAAGACAGACCCACCACTGGCCAAGGCTGAGCTCATCAGCAA